ACTGTAACCAGCTGAGCTACCCAGCCAGGGCTAATAGCAGTGCCTTTTTATGTTTTAAGTCAGAGTACTTTATGGTTTCCATTTTATTTCATTTAATCACACCAGACACTGTTAACTCCCTTTTGTGGAGGACGAAAGAGAACCAGTAACTAACTAGCTTTATTTTCAGCAGTCAATTAAACTCAACTCTGAGAGAATTATACTAAAGATGAAGGATGTGAGGCACTTGGTAAAACAGCTAGCCTTGCACAGGGTGCTGTGTGTACAGTCTATAGAGTTTATATTAATTGTTTTTCAAGGTAAAATATTGCTATGTAGACATTGCCGTATTCACTTTTTTAATTGCTTTATTCATCAACTTTAAAACTATTCATCAGTTTTCCCTTTATACAGACTTTGTAGAACTGTACCAGTATAGTTGCTATTAGCCACATACAGCTATTTAAATTTAAATTAAAGTTAAAAAAATTAATGGTAGCCACATTTCAAGTACCCAGTAGCCTCAGAGAACTAGTGGTAACTGTATTAGACAGCACAGATGCAGAAAACTTTCATCATCACAGAAAGTTCTGTTAAACAGCATTGTTTTTAAGAACAATATTAGAGAAAATATCATTTGAGGACAGGTTTTGTTTTAGGCTTTAGGATTTTTGAAGTTAAAAATGTTAACTTTAGATTATCCTAAGGAGAGGAGCTTCGTGATTTACTGTCTGTTGATCAAGTTTGTCATGTTCACACTTAGCCTAATATTTTATTAAATCTCTCTGGCCCTATATAAATTGATCATACTAGGCTGAGGGATATGTTGGGCTAAGTAATAAAATATTTGCAAATGTGTGTTTTACGTCTTTAATGCTTAATATCTTTTAAGCTTTAATGTTTAATATTCTTTCCTTATTACCATAGAATGAGGATAATGAGATAATGACTACATGGAATTTGAATTAATTGATTGGGGTTATGAAGTTAAAAATTCAAATCCTAGTGAACCTCCTAGTCCCAACAGAAATCTTTGCTGTTTTGAAGTTATTTCAACTTCAACTCTCCTTTAGTTTCTAAGCCCTTAAAGTTTAGTGTCTCAACTTCAACTCTCCTTTAGTGTCTCATTAAACAGAGTCTACACACTTGTAAAGTAACTACTCTGGACCAGTCATTGTCTTACATTATTTGCTAATTCATTTATGGTTACACATTATGATGACCTATAACTAGATTGTGAGCTCCTTAAAAGTAGGAAATCCTGTTTTGTATTTAAAATACCTATAATTTTAGAAATTAAGAACTGAAAGAGACTTTAGAGATACTCGTGTTAAATATTTTTATTTTACAGATGAAGACCCATGACAGGTGAAGTTACTTGCCCATACTTAGAGAACCAGGACTAGAGAACTTGGATAGCCTTCTATCAAGCTATCTCCTTAACTAGTTGATTGTTAAATTTAATCTGAAGGAAGTCTTAAGCAGTACTTTTGGTTGAAGTTACTATCTTTTGTATGTATAAACTATGTCAGTGTAGAACAAAGTTATTTATAACTCCTGATATTTCCTGTTTGTTTCTTATGACACATTCTTAGGGGCAGATTATATGCTGTTTTTGGAGATACAGCATTTTTCTATTACCTTTGGTAGTAAAACCTTATGTAATGAGTTATAGGGTTAGAGTGTCCATTTATAGAACCTAATAGTCCTGTTTTTATGAGCTATTTTTTATCTCTACTTTTATATTCTAGTTAGTTTTGGTTTTAGTATTGTGCACACACACAGACACTCACAGGAGTGCTAAGAAGAGTAAACATTCCTATGTACAAACAAGACTTGACATTTCTAGGGTACCTGAGCTGTTTCATAAAATTCATTTTATTCCCTACAGTTATTGGTAAAGTGTACATTAGGTATTTATAAGGTGGTTGTTATTTGATAGGATACTTTTGCCTCTCAGAAACTATTGGTTTATTTCTGTGGTAGCATATGCTTGTAGTTGGTAGGGACCAGACCAGCTCAGGATTTTTGCAGAATACTAGTTGTTTCCCCAGGAGATTAGAATACATCCCCCTTTCCTCCCCCTCACCCAAGAATTGAAACAGATTTCAGAAGGGAGCCCTTGCTTGTGAATCAAGGCTTTAATTATAGGCTTTCTTCTTTCCACAGGCACTTCCCTTTTCTGTATTTGTTCTTGTGTGTGCATGTGTGCGTTCGTGTGCATGTGCTTATGGTTGCTTGCAGCGTTTGGATCTGTGCAGCACGTTGGCTTTCTAGACATCCTTTGTATAGTAACAGCATGTGTGGAGGGACTGGCAGCATGTAAAACAGTTTTTCTCCTCTTCTCCCTCCTCTCATCCTCCCTCCCTTCCTAGATCTGGTGACATTACATAGATAAATGTGCAGCTAGGAAAACATCAGAAGGAATTGAATGCCTGCCAAAATTTGCAGCATGAAACCAAGCCGGCTGCTTCAGCCTAGCTTTCCCGATCTCATTGTGTGTGAGGGCTTGTCAGGGCTCTCCTTCTTGAGCATTACGTCACTATGTTCTCCACCCTCATTATATACTGTTTTCTTTTGAAAAGCTACTGTCCTCAGGTTTTAAACTTCTTAAACACTTAAGGCTTTATTTATACTGTTATGGGGGTAATATTGAAGATGAAATATATTTAAGTCTGAAAGAGATTTTTTTTCTTTTTTAATCCTTACCCAAGGATATTTTTTCCATTTCTTTTCAGAGAAAATGGAAGGGGGGGCGGATTGATGTAAGATAGACACATCAATTGGTTGCCAACTGGGGCCAGGGATAGAGCTTACAACCGAGGTATGTGCCCTTGGCTGGAATCGAACCTGGGACCCTTCAGTCCACACAGGCCGACTCTCAACCACTGAGCCAAACCAGCTAGGGCTGAAAGAGATTTTTTTTTTTAATTCTCATCCGAGGATATGTTTTTTCATTGATTCCAGAGAGAAAGGGAGAAATATCATAATGAGACAAACATCGATTGGTTGCTTCCCACACGCACCCTGACTGATTGGGATCAAACCCAAAACCTGGGTATGTGATGCTCCAACGACTTGAGCCACACCAACCAGGGCAGAAACTTTAATTTGATGTAATATCCACTTAAGGTGTATGTATACATATGTGCAAATGTGTGTTTCTGGGTAATATTAGGGTAGTGTAGAAAAGAGTTTCATAGCTGGCACATATAATTGGCAGGAATACAGCCTCTCTAAAATTCAGTTTGAAAGTATGTATCAAAATTCTTAGAAATGTGCACACTTTTTGATCCAGCAATTCCAGGTCCAGAAATAGGTCCCAAGGTAATAATCCAAAAAGTGAGCAAAGTTGTATTTATAAGGATGTTTGATTACTGTCTTGAATATCATAAAAAATTAGAAGTATTAAATGTTCATTAATGTGAGATTGGTTAAATTATCTTACAACATGCAGCGAAATACTGTATGGTCATTGGAAAGATGATGTTGATGTGGGTTACTGCTGTGGAAGTAAATTTAACAAAAAATTTAAAAAATTATTTATAGGAAAAGCTGAACACAATGTACATGAAAAGAGATAGCACAAAGGAAGGTTGAAGAGTACAGGCTCTGGAGCCAGGCTAGTCGCCTGGGTTCTGACACTTTTTATAACTTTGGGTATATTAATCTTTCTGGGAATTTGATTTCTCATCTGGAAAATGGTGTTGATAGTACCAAGAGTGGTTGTGAGGTCTAAAAGTATTAATACCTGTAAAGCATATTTAACAGTCCTTGGAGTGCCCAGTAAATGTTAGGTATTATAGGGGAGGAAGAGAAAGATTGGGAGAGAATTTTACTGTCTCTTCTCCTTTTATTATCTGATTTTTAAAATGAGAATATCATGATTTTATAATTAAGATAAACAGTAGAGCTTTTCTATTAAAACTAAAAATGGTGAAGTTGATAAAGATGTAAAAGTATTCTTTGCTTGCTTCAGGAAGTCCTAGAACTCCTGGATGTTTTGTTGTAGGTAGAAAAGCTTTTCCCACTACAGTCTAGGTGCAGTTGACAACTGAGGCTTCTCTTTCGACATGCTTCTTATTCCTTGTGGAGAAATTTTATTCTTTTTCAAGATTTCTACAAATGCTCAGGGACTTATTATGGTGCTTCTTACTATGGTGGGTGGGTTCTCTTCACTCTGTGCAGAACCAAACTTGCTTAAGCTTCATCTCTTTTTTAAATTACTGAAAAATTGCTCACCTGTTTTTCATGTGGACTGCAAATTTCAAGATTTTTATTATAGCATAGAAACAATTTAAAACAGTTGTTATATAGTTCTTAAAAGGCCTTTGACCCACCCTGTCTCTAGGAATTTGTCACTGGCCACCTCTTTCTCCACATTTCTTAACCCTCTCTCAATATTCTCTCTGTTTCTTAGGCAAGACCGTTTTGCCTTACTCATTTACAAAGATGCTAATGGACTGTGCTGAAACAAAGATCTTATTACCCCTTTAGTTACATTTAGGAACCTCCTGTGGCTTCTTCATTTTTGTTTTTTTCTCCCTCTCCCTTCTGATCATTCTCTGAAAGTGGGGGGAAATGGATAAAAGGTTGATTTCTTTATTTCATTTATTTTTTCCCCATCACCATTTATCCCCCCTGTACCCTTTTCCACCAAGGTTGATTTCTTACTGCTCTGAATAATGCTACTCTTTGAAGAAGGCAGGAGAACCTTTGGTCAGTTTTAGTTGCTTTTTATTCTCATCTATGGATATGTTTATTGATTTGAGAGAGAGAGATATTGATGTGAGTGATCAAAGGCAGGAGAACCTCTGGTCAGTTTTAGTTTTTTTTTCCTCCTCACCTGAGGATATGTTTATTGATTTTAGAGAATGGGGTGGGGGGTGGTGTGTAGAGACATCAGTCAGTTGCCTCCCATACGCACCCCGATCAGGAATGGAACCCGAAACCTAGGTATGTGCCCTAATGGGGAATGGAACCTGCAACCATTTGGTGCATGGGATGACACTAACTAACTGAGTCACCTGGCCAGGGCAGTTTGAGTTTTACATATGCGAATTTAAATCCTGCCACACCATATTGTTAGTAAGTAGTATAACTATTTACCAGTAATGGAAACTCAACATTTGCCATCTGTGAAGTCTTTTTTTCTTTCAAAAAATTATTTTATTAGACTTGTCCCCATGGCTGCCTTTCTGGAGCCCAGCAAGCCCAGGAACGGGAAGCCCTCTAAGCTCCTAGGAATTTTAGATGTCAAGAACATTTCCTGTGTACGGGACTTGGTATTATATGGTTCATTAGGATCTGTTGTGGCTGGCCTTGGACATTTTTTGTTATCTAGTAGAATTAGAAGATCATGTGATGTTGGAGTAGGAGGATTTATCTTGGTGACTTCAGGATGCTGGTTCCATTGTAGGTATAATTATGCAAAGCTAAGAATCCAGGAAAGAATCACCAGAGAAGGAATTAAATAGAAGATTTTATATGAAAGTACCCACCTTGATCCTGAAAGAATACAAACCAACGGCATCAGCAGAGTCTCAAGCATAGAAACCCAAATATAACTCACTGAAGCCAGTGTGAACAAAGTTGAGATCAACTGTATAAAGCATTCTATGTACCATAAGAAGGCTTTCAATCAAGTAAATAAAGTGTGTGTAAGTTGTAAAAAAAATTTTTATCTATAGTTTGTTTCATTGAGTGGTTGAGTTGAAGCTGTTTAGAGTATTGGCCTTAAAGTCAGAATATCTACCTGACTTTGAATAACTTTCGTTACTTTGTTAGTCATATATAGCCTTTGACAATTATTTTTATTTTTGGTAAAATGAATATATAATGGTTTTTATTTTCATTTATTTATTATTTTAATTTTTTTGTTAATCCTCACCAGAGGATATTTTCCCCATTGATATTTTAGAGAGAGTGAAAGGGAGGCAGGGAGGAGAGAGAGAAAGAGAAACATTGATGTGAGAGAGACACATTGATTGGTTGCTACCTGCACCCTGACTGGGGCTGGAACCTGCAACCCAGGTACATGCCCTTGACTAGGGATTGAATCAGAGACCCTTCACTGTGCAGGCCAACACTCTAACCACTGAGGTACACCAGCCAGGGCTATAATGGTTTTTAAAGATCCCTTCCAGTTCCAAACATCAGATTCTGATAGTAACAGAAAAATATACCTTCTAATATGTTAGTTATTAATTTGGTAGGTCTTGAGGAAAATGATGCTGTTTGCCAATTTGTTCAAGTGTTAATTTAGACTGTGGCCAGAATAATGCCCACAATTGCAACCTCTTAAAAAAGTAATGAACACAGAAGTCTTGTTGAAGATCTTGCTCCTTTTAAACCATCACTTTCATATACAGGGTGGGGCAAAAGTAGGTTTACAGTTGTGAGTATGGGAAACATGATTTATTCTTGTATTATTATTTATTAATTATTGTATTATTTTCCATATGAACAACTGTAAACCTACTTTTGCCCCACCCTGTATGTTTAGCATAGGAAAGATTCTTTTGCTAATGCTCTTGTACTCAAGTACCACTAAATTTTTTTAAAGTAGGTAATGTGAAGTATGGTAAATATGTGTGCACAAAAAGACTTTTAAAATCTTAATGCAATCATGTAAATAACATATATAGAAAATCTATTAGTCCACAGAAAATTTTAATCACCTTGCTTTTTATTTTGGATGTTAAAACAAAAACTTACCCTGACTTGAAAAGTGATAGTTGGCCACTTAACAAAAATAATCTTTATTGATTTCAGAGAGAGGAAAGGAGAGGGTGAGAGAGAGCTAGAAACATCAATGATGAGAGAGTCATTGATCAAGCCCACAACCTGGGCATGTGCCCTGAACGGGAATTGAACCCCGATTGCCTGGATCCGAGGTCGACGCTCAACCGCTGAGCCACGCCCGACTGGGCTAAAAAATATATTTTTAAAAATACGTTTTTATTGATTTTGAGAGAAAGGAAGGGAGAGGGATAAAGAGATAGAAACACTGATGAGAGAGAAACATCCATTGGCTGCCTCCTGCACACCCCCTACTGGGGATTGATCCCTCAACCCAGATATGAGCTCTGACTGGAAATTGAACCGATGACCTCCTGGTTCATGGGTTGATGCTTAACCACTGAGCAACACCAGCTGAGCTGAAGGATAGCATTAAAAAAGGATATAGGAAATCAGCATTTATAGGTGCCTCTTTTGAGTTACAGTCTCATAACTTTATCCCATGTAATCTTCATGATAACTTGAAAATAGGTATGTTGTACTATTTCACACCAAAGAAGTTCAGTAACTTGGCCAAAGTGATGCCATAAGTGGCAGAATCCAGTCTATCTCTAAGCTCCGCTGAACTGATTCTTAGACACAGGGATACAAAGGACTCTGAGGGATGGGGTAAAATAATTTAGGGAAAGAGCATGAACTATGATCTCTGAGAACAAGTGATTGAGAGTAGAGGAAGGCAGTGTGAGAAAAGTAGTTTGGTATATGATGGAGGGAATTGAACAATAGCCTATAGGAGTTGGCAGTCAGTATATGTTGTGTAAGTTTTGGGCCAGGCAAGTAACTGGATAAAAAGCATAGTATTTTAGGGGTATTAATCTCATAGCAGTGTGTAGAAAAATAATCAGAGACTAGAGTCAGTCAGTCCATACAGAAGATTGCATATGGTGATAGGGGAGAGCCATAAGTATATAAAAGAAACTAAAATAGAAAGGAAGGACCACAAAGGAAAGGAGAAGCAGTAATAACTTGGCCTCTCCAACTTTGGATGAATGAAGAAAATGATATGTCACTGACAAACCGAAAGTGGAGCTTTCAAATAACTGATGAATATGTGAAAGAAAGTTAACTCTGCAGTCTTAACATAGAATTTAAATTCAGCAAATGTGCATACTATCATTTTTTATGTCACCTCTGATTAGGAAATAGAAAATTGTTATAGTATCTTGACAGATGATTGCTTTCTTATCTAAATTTATACTAATCTATATGCATAGTAAAAATGTAAATTGAAATTGATCATCACTGTTCTAATTATACCATTAACTTACTTTCACCAATAATCTTGTTATTTTATCTAATTGTAGAAGTCATTGAATGAACTCATCATAATAAAATTGAATTCAATTTAGTACTCCTATTAAGGCTTTGTAATGGCTAATGGGTTGTGTTGGAACTGATTAAAATTACACAAGACTTACCTTATTGTAGACTATAAATAATGGAAAATGGATTCTTTTCCAGGCTGTTCATGTTGTTTTATTATTATATATCTTGTAACTATATACTTCTGAGGAAAAGATTATCCTAAAAATATGTTTAATAAGGAGCCATAGATTGCTTGATACTATATAGGGTGCTGAAGAATGTCAAGAGATTAAATCATCCTACCTAAGTACACTTCCCCTGAAGATTATTGAACTTTGGAGGAGAGGCTTTGAGGCAATTACCGATAAACCTATTTGAAGCTAAGCATGATTCTGTTTTATATAAATTTCAATATATGCATATTTAGTACATACTATGTGCAAGACACATACGAGGTGAGTTAAGAGGTCTAGGGTGATTTCTGCTTATCTAGTACTGTCTTGTCTTGAAAAGAACAAAAATTGAATTCTAAAATGTTGAAAAGGATTTGAGAGGAGCATGAGTTCACCCAAGGCCTTTAATAGTGAAGGAGTGAAGAACTGGGTAAAACTGAGAGGAGGGCTTGCCTCATTGAAAGAGAACAATGTATTTTGTTAGCTTTCTCAGCAAAGTATTAGTTTCTTAAAGTGAACTCTGTGTGCCAGTTTGTTTCCCTTATAATACTGGAAATAACCTAATTGTGCAAATAGTCTCAAAAGGCTTACTTTTGAGTTTTTTGGTAAGTGAATAATGGAATAGTATTTGTTTTCTAATTATTTTGTGTGGATTTTGTTTTGTATTTACTGACATTTATAAGTGCTTTGAAAATGTGAACGCTTATTTTTTATCTTCTCAAATTTTTGATATATTACATTGCTTACCAAACTGTAATATTTGCCAGACTTCTTATGCTTTGGATAGTATTTTGAAAACCTAGCAATATTTGTTTTCCTCATGCTCAGTCATGGAGCACCATTTTGGTTTCCTTCACTATACCATGACTAAGAATACTTCAGTTTTCCTCGTTTCTAAGCTAAGACTTAACTCTGTATCCTTTGGTTATTTATTTTATTTAATAAAGCCATTCTTTTAGCTTTATTATATATATTGTAGTACTTCAGCAGTAGATACTATCAACTAATAAATGATATCTCAGCTGAAAATTGTTTCAAGTTGTGTGAAATAAATATCCATTGAAGAAAGTTAATTTGCAGTTAAATTTACCTGATTATAATTGCAGAAGAAAGGGGCAGGATAACAAAACCTTGAAAAATTCAAAGAGGTAGGCAAGGCTGTAATTCGAAAAGTTGAAAGTAAGAAAATTAAGTTAGGTGGGTAGATTTGAGAGGAGCTTACGGTGGTTCATGCAGAGTAACCTGGCTGGATCAGATACACAGCAGTCAGAAAGAGAATTTAGTTTAAGACTGAGTAGTGGTCAATTGATAGATTTTAATTCTTAGACTGCTTTACAAGAAAATTGTTAAGGCGTAGGAATGAGCTGTTTTTGTAATTGGATTAAGAGGTAACTAACTTTCGCCCAGCTGGGCGTGGCTCAGCGGTTGAGCATCAACCTAGGATCTAGGCGATCAGGGTTCGATTCTGGTCAGGGCACGTGCCCGGGTTGTGGGCTGCAGCTGATCAATGACTCATCATTGATGTTTCTATCTCTCTCTCCCTCCCTCCCCCTTCCTCTCTCTGAAATCAATAAAGATATATTTAAAAAAAAAAAAA